GTAATACAAAGCTAATCTGTTATACAGATAGCGCAAAATAAAGATCTAAACTAAAAGAGATCTAAAGGAAGATAACCTAATCAAAATTGTTACACTCCCTTTTGTGAAATATTTGTTCTAACTTTATAGAATGCTTTCATAGTGTTCTGGAATATTTGAAAAGTAGTTTCATCTGAAAATATGATATTTTTCCAGTTTTGTCAGATGTGGACAGTTGTCCATTTAACATGATATTGGCATTTTTCTTCTGTAAGTAAAGGAACAGTTTTTGGTTTTTTTGCATGGTATCCAAGTTTATTAAGTTTATGGTTGATTGTTCATGCTGATATTTCAATATTAGAACCAAATTTATTGGCAATTTCTTCATAGGTAAGATACCTGTCATTTTGGATAAGTCTTCCTAACATATATCAATCTTTGAGAGTTAAAATTATGGGATATCCAGGACAAGAAATAGATCCAAGTTCTTCATTTTTTTTAATTGAATGATATATTTATATACTGTAGAAAGGGAAACACCACTTAGTTTTGCTAAAGTTGGTATATCACAGACATCACACTTTCAAAGCTGACTTACAGTCATTCATTGATTTTTAAGTAAGATTTTTTCCATTTTACATCAAAAAAAAAGGAAAGGAAACTAATTAAGCTTTTTTTTAGGTTTGTTTTTTTATATTGCATTGATAAACAAACTGATATTAAAGTTTGGTCACACATGCTGGACATGATCACATTTTTTCTATATATGATTTATAATACATTCAATTCTTGTTATATATATCAAGAGCTGTATAATAAACATCAAAAAAATATTATTACAATAATAATTATGAAAATTTATGTGAAAGATTTAATTTATTTTTAAAACAAGTTCTTGAATTTTAGACAAGAATAAGCAAGAATATGAAAATAAAAAAGTAAAATTCTTGTTATAATTTCTTTATGTATATATAACTATTATTTTAAAGCTTATCTATAAGTTTTATGGCTAATATAAATTGAATTTCACTCTAAACAAGTAATATTTGTTAGGATTAAATAAGTCCAATTGTTAATTTTGTTTAGTAGTTAAATTTGATTATTGATTAATCTTGTTAATAGTAATTTTTATAAAAATTATCACAGAATGATTAGAGAATTCCTCTCCTTGTAAATTATTCAGTTTTTTATTATCATAATAGCTTTAAATTCTCTAATTCTATAATTTTAATCAGCTTATATTTTAGATAATAACATTCTTTTTAACATTAATTTTTACATTACTTTTTATATTTATTTTAACATTTGCCTTTATATTCTTTAAACATTTATCTTAGCATTTATCTTTACATTTTTCTTGAAATTTATATAATTTTATTCTTACTTTAAGTTTAACAAAATAAAAGACAAATTTGTATATAAAGACAGCATGACTTGGTAAAAGGAAGAACAAGTAAAAAAATTAATAAAAAAATTCTTATTTAAAGTACTATTTAAATGTTGTGGAAATAATTAGAGTATTAATTATATTAAAAGTATTATTTCAAACCTTGAGTATCGTGAAATCTTCACAAAAAGTTCTATGAATTAATTCAATATTAGTTTTTATTATATTTGATCGTGTTAAAACCAGACTTTGTAAAATTGGTGCAGGAGACCTTTCGAACACTTAAAAAAACAACTTTACCTTTGAATCATTTCATTCAGTTTAGCTCTCCACTCCATGTTTACATCTCATTTTTTTTAATCTATCCTTAGAAAAATTCGAAACAGATCAACTTTATCAAATATATATCTATTATGGAGACATATTTGAAACGAAGTCATTTGCATTTTTAGTACTATCGCTATACTTCTTTTGTTTACTTTAATCTCTACTATTGTTATTTTCTTAGAATCGATTTTGTTTTAGTTTTGATTGAATCGATCAATTGGATTGAATTTTAAGCTTTTGTCTAGAAAAAACAATGATTATATTGAAGTTTAAAATGTGAACTTTACTTGAAATCCTGAACTAAATTATTTTTTTAAAGAATTTCTTATTACACAAGATATTGACCTTGCAAAAAGAACCCCATAATAGATAAAATTATTAAATTTTCCAACTCATAATAGTAGATTTAGAATTGAAACTCATATTGTGTATGGTGCATAAAATCCAAAGTAATAAAATGTTCGTATAAATTGAATTAACTTTTTAAATGATAAATCCAACTTAATTCGTGGACAAATATTTTGATGACTTTAGATGTTTTGCGTCACAGAGAGAACATTATAAATAATAAGTATGAAATCATAACATGCGGTACCAAATAATTCATATCATCAATAAATTTATAATCAAAAGCTTCCTTCTATTTAATATTTTCCTAGCTTGTTTACAGTTACTTTGTTTGCTAGCACTTATGATATAATAATCATGAACAATGGAAATTATATGTACATGCATGTACATGTATATATATATATTCATTTTTATATGTAATTTCAAGTATATCTTTCAAATATTACAATAAAAGACCATCAAAACATGCACTAACATAAAACCCAAACTCCATATCCTTTCTCCTTTAAAGCCACTTCTATCCGTAGAAGCAGCGGAACTGTTTTTTGTATTGTTACTGGGACCGATGTTAGTGTTATTTTGGGTAACCTTAACAGAACTAGAACCGCATTTAGAAATTAATTGGGATTTTAATTCATCCATATTTTGTGAAATATATGGCGTAGCATCTTTGTTTAATGGATGGTTGGATGTCCAATTTATATAAATATTCGATATAGCCGTGTAGCAACTGTCACAGAGAATTGAATCCGGTGCATTTACTATTGATGAATTAGTTGAATTGGTATCATTCATTGAGGTGTTGTATGCTATTTGTCCGTTTGGTGGAAGAATTGAATTCAAGCAAGGTAGTATGGTTTGATTTTCGTTTATCGTTTGTAAATATCCAATCTCGTTATTCAGTATCTCAACGGCGCAATAATCTTTATGTACCGCATAAGAGACATTATCGGTTAATCTTTTTTTTCAATTAATACGAATTGTGCAAAGATTATCTTTTTTTACCTCCATTCGAGTTCTTTTCGCATAAAGCCATTCGATCTGAAACGGAAAAATAAGCGACTTTTAATGCTTGAACGGCTTGCGCATTCATTTCATCAGTCTTATTTGCCAATTCCGAATCACAATCTTGCTGAATTTGTTGAAAATATCTGACGGCGGTTTCTTCATCACAATTATTTTTTGAAGCACAGAAACCGTCTAATCCCGAGGATACAGATGACACAGGGTTTGAAATTGAAGAAGAATTTGTAGATGGTGATGGTGACGAAGGCAGGTATGATAAGAATAAAGTTTTCTGGTCGCACTTATTTGGTGTTGTGCCTGACGTAGGATCATATACACCCAAAGAACCTAAACTGAATAGAGTGAATTGACACAGCGAACATGTGTTCACCTCGTATTTATCCATACATGTTGGACCTTGTGTTATCACGAAAGGAATTATATAAGATTGTATCAGTAAAAGTGAGAAAATTATTATTTGCTGTTTGAAAACTAAGTTTGATGAGGTATTCATTGTTTGGGGGGGAAAAGAATGAATTAATTAAGTATTTATAGGCATGCATCTCTTGCATTTCTCAAAAGAAAAATTGTTTACACGCCAAGAGGATCGGCCATGTCATAATCGGCCATGTCATACCGATACCTGGACATATATGGTTACACATACTATATTATCTTTGTTTTAATATCGATATGTGCAACAAATCTATATATCATAGAAATTAGCAATGAAATATATCAATATGTTTCAATCTTATTATGATTAACGTTAATTACAAATTACATATATCTATATTATCTACCATATTTCTTCTTTTACATGTATAGTGAATAATAATATACATGTAGTAGTGTTTCTAACTGAAACATCAAACCAGACTTTTGCCAGCTTCAAGTCTCTGGTTTAAAATTCATTAATACTAATAACTATTTAAGCCTTCTCTATCAAATAACGATGATGATTTTTAGAAATAATAAAGAATTGAACTTTTTAGCTTGAATTCATCATACTTTCAAATACATGTACATGTCACACCGGATGTATAATATTCGGATTTGTTATATGCACTTCTATATAAATAACTCATAGTGATCGACAAAATACATGTACCTAATATCGATATACATGGAAAAAAAAATCAAGCTAGAGTTCACCAGGAGTACATTATGGAAATTACACAACATCGTACAAACAGTTTTATAACCAATCAGAAAGACAATTGACGCAAATGAATATAATAGTATGCGTATCATCTTCTGAAAAAAGTAAAAATCATGTATCGGTATGTACATGTTCAGACTTTGCTTAACACAACAATAAACAAACAAGCAAAAGATCCGAGTTGATTTACGTGTTTATACATGTGCATAGCTTGCAAAAAGAGGTTTTGGGACAATTTATAAAGCAAGCTGTCAATTCACAAATGGGATCGAAAACGAATTGGCGAACAAAAAGTTGTGTTGAACTTATAAAATTAATTACTCGGAGATTAGAACATTCTAACATTCTAAGGTGACACTAAAAAATCAAAGTTTTTCAAAAATAGATTTTAAATTCTCTAATGTTGTTTACCAGAAAATACATTATTATGGATAACTAAAAACTCTGTTATAAATGATACTGCTAATAATATTGATTTGGGTTGCGTAGAAACTTAGAAATTTATTGCTCAACTGGTGTTTCTTAACAGCTTCCTTATAAAGTCCAGCGGTCGGTGTTAATTGGAAGTCATAAGCTGCGGTTATAATAACCATTCGATGAAGGAAGTCATTATAGAAGCTTGTATAAAGAATACAAACTCAATATGGTGGTGTGCCATAAAAAATTGGCGTCCCGTGACTTCGATTCTTTAACATTTAATCCAACAAAATTATATACAGAGGCACACATTTGAAATCGTACAGAGAAAAAATGACGAAATTCAAATATCTCGCCATTGAAGGATTTGTCCACGGTCAGAAAAAATTAAATTGCATTAACGACAATTTTTATAATCAAAATAAAAAACTAAAAATTTTTGTGTACGATATAATATAACCAGCGAACGTAAGACTTTAAAACCTAAATATAAACAACTTATATTTTTAATTATATCTAACAATTTTCCTCATTTCAGAACAATACCTTGAATTTCATTGTCAAAATGTTTCTGCATATATACATTCCACCAAGAAGAATACGCATCTGAAGAATGTTCTATTGACGTCGAAATCCAATTCAAACTTCAAAATGCCTCAGGAGTTGATTTATCCATGGAAAGCGTATAGCGTATACTTAGAAGATTTGGGTGATTTGCCGGAACAAAATATGAAAAATCATTACTCACAAAGACACACAGAAAATGCTGACTTGCTTGGACAAAGAATATCAGTTGGCTATTGATGAAAAATTATTTGGTCTGACGAAAGCAAGTACCAAAAATTTGGTCAGACGGGCGAAATACTGTTGGAAGCAACACAATATACCTTTAAAACGGACACATTATACCAACAATGAAAGTTTGGTGGTTGGTGGTTCAATTATGACATGGGGTTGCATGAATGCTGACGGAGTTGGCAAACTCAGAAAAATCGATGGTAAAATGAATGCAGATGTTTACGTCAATATATTAAATACAAATTTGCTAGGTTCACTTCTGGAGATGACGCTGGAGAAGGATGAAATTCTTTTTCGATCCGAAACATCTTTCCGGAAAAGCAAAAGATTGGTTTCGCAAGTTTATATCGACTTGATTCCATAGATTTTTTAAGTCAGAGACTGAAATGTGGGAAAAGTTACAAATTGCTTGGAATAACATTGACATTGATTTTTGCGAAAGGTTAATTGAATCAATGTCAGAACGAATTAATGAAGTGATACAAGCCAAAGGAGAAAGTATAAAATAGATCATCCTAATTCAATAATGTATAGTTAGTTATACAGTATTAGTATAATTGTTTCCAATTCTTCAATATTTGAATCTCGCCATTTTTTTTTCTGTGTACGATTTCATATGTGAGCCACTGTATAATATGAACAAGAATAATTCGAATAGAGTCGACGAACAAACCATTATATTGCGATAAATTATATGTTCTGGTATGATGTTTCATTATTTCACATAACGATTATTTGTTTGCAATTCAGATTTTCTCAATAACGATCTATTTAATTATTTGCCTGGATTTTACGAAACGCGAAAAAAACCCGTTAAACCCCTTTATCCATGCAGTTTCAATCAATCCCGGTGTTCTCCCACAAAAGGAGTAGGTTATTAATGGAATGATTCAGTTTATATTAAAGCATACCCACTCCGGAGCAACTAGTTGTTTTAATATAAACTGGCGTACTCCGTTAGAGCGCATCATTCGGCTTATATCCGTATGATGCTATCAAACTTACACAATCGACCTCCAAGCGCATGCAAAAAAGGTCGAAAGAATTTGACGCGAATGCTGGATGAAGTTCATAGAAAATCGATCATATTTTCACTCGCGAATTTGATGCTATCTGACAAACTTAACCCTAATACAAGAAAATCACACACAAAGACGAATTAAGATTCTGTCCATCGATTTCGTCATCGTCTATTGGGAGTTCTAGTTCCTATCCAAAATGAGGGTTATACGTCTAAAACTTTGTAGTTGGTGTAGGAATATTCAGAAAATCGGTGGAGCAGAGGCATACAAATGCCAGAATTGTAGAATAGAGGCGAAAATGGCGCACGGGAGTATTTATCCGGGCTTTGCTTGATGGAGCCTTGGTTCTCTCTCCTGAGAATCATACGGGAAATACAACATAACCAGTTAATAATTGACATTATTCTATATAATAATTGGGTGAAATTCAAATTTAATTGACGTGTAAGTAAGCTTGAGAAAAATTTTTATTAAAAAGATAATGGTTGCAGTTACCGATACAAAATAAGTAAATTTCTAACAAGGTTGTAATTCATAGAATTACATGTATTTAGAATTGACAACTTGTATAACTAACTACATAGATAATAAATGAGCGTAGCGAAAATGATAGTAATTTTTTCAACACCAAGTAATTTTTAACAGGGCACTGGTGCTAAAATATTCATTAAATTAATATTATGAATACATTGTGAGAATTTTACGAGATTAATTATTGCAACATATGCATAATAAAAATACGCAGTTTATCTATTAAAAAATCAACTTACAATTAGTCTCTGTAGCATGCCCTCGCATTACAGCCTTGCTCGGTTGTATAGTATTCACATCTTGTTGTTCCTGGTGGGCACGAATTGCAAGTGACTACTAGACTACCGCATCGAACTATTTAATCGCAAGAATTTAAGTAATATTATTAAAAATAAAGAAAACATAAGTAAAAGATGAAATATATATAATATAAAATTACTCACGATTTCCTGACCCAAAAGCAACAGTAAAACTAATCATTATTCCCATTATCATCACAAAAAATAATACAAAGTTGTTCATTTTCATCGGAAAAAGAATATACTTGCTATTAAGTTTACAGGATTCTTTGATTTTTTATAAAAAAATACAATGTTCAGATGTACATGTTTTGTATTTTATTGTTTCGGCCGTATTACATGTATGACGTGCATTGATTAAGGGGATTGATTCGTTATGTATGTATATATATAGAAATCAACGTACGGCATCAGAATAAATAATCATACAAGCACATATTTGTGCATGTAACATGTACACTCGGTAGACAAAAGTTTGGAATCGGAAATGATTGATATACTTTTGTCTACCGAACAATGTTTGTCTTTCATAGAGCGGTCGATATTGATTTTTAATAGTGGATTAAAGAAACACCGAAAGGAATTTTTTACAAGTACATTACGCTGTTATGTATTTGATTAATTCGAAGATGTTCTCGCTCGTTCTATAATTTATTTTATTAACTTACGTAAGTGACATCGCATTCATTTGACGAGACTTGAATCTTCAAAGATTCTAATAATTTGGAACACTTTGTATTGTCTCATTATGTAGCAATTAATTGCAGTAATGAAGCGATAAACTCTAGTACGCGTTTAACAATTCCAATTTCGATCGCTTTGATTTAAACTTTACCCATTTTAACCACCATTTACATACACATGTATTAATTATATTATTAAGCAATGTTACATAAAGTATTCATTGAATAAAATATAGTAAAGGTGATTTTATAGCAATCTGGGTATAACGACTGAACGTGAGTAATTCCATTTATTGGATTTAATTTACGTATGCGTATAAAAATACCTGTCTACAAATGAATAAATTTTGATAAGAGTAATGATTAAATTAATAAATATACGCGCGTAAACGAAAGAAATTGAAACCACTTTTTGATTATCGTTTTACAAACTTTTCTCCATGAATTTTGCTAGATCAATGATTATATCCCTTAAACAATTAATTTTGATTCCAAGTCACTTTTCGTGGTGGTTGAAATTAATATATTTACGGAGATTGTCATAAAACATTACTATTAAGCATTCATTCGAGGTTGGGTTTTTAGTTAAACCATAATTGCAT